CGAAGATCAGAGACGCCGCCGCATTTGCCAAGGTTTCGAAGATCAGGTGGGCCGGACACGTTCGAGGACGACCGCTGGACCAGAGCGATCACCGACTGGATTCCACGGGATGTCAAGCGAACACCTGGCGACGATGCCAGATTCCTTCGTGTAAGCTCCGAACGAAGGAGGTTCGTCGTGTCCCTTACGTAGAGAAAACCCCTTGGGCAACTCAAGCACGTTGCAGGACGAATGGAGACGTTACTGGCGCTCCGCTCAAGGAACTCGATGATCAACGGGAGCACAGGTGATACAGGTGATACTGATGAAACTGCTGAGAGACTAACCGGCACAATATGTATACCCTTTACGAACCCAGTTATCGAAGTTTGAGCCAGTTCTCTATCAAAATTTGTCTGTGGAGTGAAAGTAGCTAAAAAATTATCTTTGGGGAAGTGTAACCTCCTGAACACGAATACCAGCGCGAGAAAGCATGTAAACGCCCAACGGGTTCCTATGACAAGACAGAGCGGTGGCGTTGGCGGCGTTGGAAGCTTTTGTGCAAAGCAATATTCAGGAGAAATGGTGATAGTGGGATGAAATACCTCAGGGATCACTGGAGAAGTTAAGATCTGGGAATAAATTTTACGAAAATCTTGCTTGAGCTTCGAAGAGTGGAGTCATGAAGGGTTCCAGCTAATCGATAGAGCTCTATGGCTTCTGAACCTACCACTTTCATATCATTGAAATAACACTGTCAAGACACTCACCACAGTTGGTTTAGGCTTCGGACTTCCATATGCAGGCTCCCCTTCGCTAGCTATCGATGTTGATCGGGATCTGTAATCATCAGAATGGTCAGCATAAGCTTGTAACAAACCTGGACCAAAGCAGGGCATCCCAAGATATCCCGTCCAGGACTTACGCGTCTATTTATTCCGTGCAAACAAGCAAAATGATTCCTAACTAGTTGACTTGACACGCCAAAGAGTATTCACGTTAAATAAGATGGATATGACGCGAATAAGGCGCACGTA